CCCCCCCCCCCCCCCGGACCGATTTTGATTTGCCAAAGCTCGATTTCTGCACGACAAAGAGGATGCAAGAATCAACCGATCATTTTCAAGTAGTATCGACGAGACGGTTCCAACGCCTCTGTCTTTTCGGCACAACCAGTGGCTGTGTCTGCTGTGGAGTACTCTAGCTTGAAAATCGCTCCGGGGAGTGTGGTACACTCTTACAGAGACAAGGCTAGACTACAATGTTCCAGGCAAAGACACTCTCACCTGCGCAAATCATAGCTATTCTCTGCGAGTTCGATCGTAGACATATGCCAAGCGTTCCGTGCAACGCAAGCGAGCAATCAGTAGTACTCCAAGCAGGCGGATTATACCTCATGATCCAGTCAGGCGGGCGGGGTCATCAGTTACAGTTGCGATAGCAGATCAGTAGCGCTCAGGTCGGGTTCGTTCACAAAGGGTTTGTGCTCAGTTTACGAACTCAAAGGTCATCGACAGCTTAGGGGGCAAGATCGCTGCAAGCTGTCATGCGGAGGAACCGTTTCATCATCGCGCGGGGCATGGTAACCAATCGGAATTATCCCGTTGCTTCCATTATTAGCCCGAGCGACGGTTACATCTTCTCTGGAAACCCCCCTCCGAGCACTTGTGGACAATGTCCCAGTGCCCATCACAGGGACGAGCACTCCGGACACTTGTGCCTTGCGTCACAAGTGTCCATCATCGCACTATTTAGAACCGGTGCACACGACCGCCCAGAACAGTACATGCAACATGTAACATGTAGCGCACGGTTCAGCAGTCGTCCCTGACGCTGAGGAACCTCGTGATTTTTCTTCAAGAAAAATGCCCGTAGAGCGGGGACGTGCCCTCAAAGTGGTACCCCCTTGCTGTTTTTCATTCTGCGGGGCACCATGCTTCTGAAAAGTTTAGGTTTCTTGAAGGTGGGGACGACTACTGTCGTGTACCCGAAATAAAAGGACCAATGCTTGTTTCTTGTGCCACGGGTTCATTCACAAAATTGTCTCATGTTTTTTTTTTTATATGTAACACAACAATGTCCGGAGGTGTCGTAACCCCCCCCCCCCTGTGGTTTAAGAAGTTGTAGATAGAGGGTATGCAGCTGTTGTTCCGTGCCCCAGCAGCAATTTTGAGCAGTCGAGAGAGGCTGTGGGTGAAATCTAGCACAAAGGGAGGCAGAGAGAGATACGTGCAGCAACTAACTGGTGGTGTCATGTCGATGCCTTATGTAACGTGTGCGCCTATGTTGTGTGTGGTTGTACCTGTTGATGACCATGGGTGGAGGAGAGGGTAGATCGACGCTGCTCTGCGGTTCCTAACGGGAGCACAGACACACAGGTAGCTGCTAGGAACTGCTGCTGCTGTAGTAATACACAACTATTGGTGCTGGCTGGCAAGCCGTGGTGGTGCTTGGTAGTAACCCTCTCTAGTAGTAGTAGTAGTGATGATGCAGCCCAGCAGCATGCTCTTGTGTATTTGTATGGGTTGCCTGCTGTGTTGCTAATTTCTACTGCTGTGCCGTGTGTGTCGAATGTGTAGTGCCGTGTTGTGCTTTGGCGTTTTGGTTTTCCGGGGACGCGCCTCCCGCAGCCCAGGGCACAAAGAAGTGAGGCTAAGCCAGATATATGTCCGGAGGTGTCGCAACCCCCCCCCCCCCAGGTTGAAGATTTTTTCAACCCGGGATAGGCGGGGGCTCCGACCCATGTGCGGTGTGATTACAGCAACAGTCAACAGTTAGTTGCAGATCCTATGCTACACACACAGCAATTGATACGCACACAGCTTCTGTGAGTACAAACGTGTGCACCAGCACCAGAAGTACAGTAGATAAAGTCTCCTCTGCAGGTGCTTTCATGGGTAGTCGTGGAACTCGTTGTACGCTCACAAATGGAGGTGACAGCAGATGGATCTCTTACGCGTGATCTGCTGGGTTGACGTCACTCACCCGTTGACTGCCGCAGCTACATACAGATGCACACACAGGGAGAGATGCACACACACAGCTCTGTCAGCTACAAACGTGTGCACCTGCATCAGCAGTACCTGTGAATGTGTGTGCCTATGATGCGTGGTCGTACGTGCGAGCCGTTGTACGCTATACTGCTGTGCATGTAGTCACACAGCAGTCTACTGCTGTTTGTTGGCCATGGTTTGGCTAGTCCACCGCACGTGTAGTCGTATGCTAGGTCAAACTATCCCCCCCTCGAGCCAGCGCGTGGTTTGCTGGGTTCACCACACGGGTGGTATGCTTGGTCCACCGCACGCGTTGTCTGCTGGGTCACCATACGAGTGCCGGGGGGGGGTAACCCCCCCCTCGGACCCCCCCCCTCGAGCCAGCGCGTGGTCTGCTAAGTCGTAATATATGTACTGTATTTTTAACAAATACACCTCGATCCATGAGATGAATGAGGGTCTGGGATGTTTTGTTTTTTGAGAAGATGGTAGTGGTTGGCAGCAGGGCCGATCGCCCTTGACCGTCACGAGCATCCTTTCCTTGTTGATTCACTTGGGATGGGATCGGGTTCTTCAACGCGCCCTGCAAACGGATGTTCCATCTCTTCTCAGTGGCAATTGATGGAAGACAACTTGCGCTCCTGTCTTCTGTGATGCCACGCCTCGCTGCGGTTGTTGTTGTTGTTGTTGTTGGTTATTCTTGTCTTTGTACAGTAATAGGTCCCGATCTCTGCCGAGTGGCACTTTTAGCAAACGTACTGGTCCAACTGACGCGGGCAGACAGCTTCAGTTACCATAACTACCCAAAAAGGGTACAATACAACATGAAAGGCAATGAGAGGATAAAACGCCTAGAAAACATCGAAACAAACGCGATACAGCAGTAGGAAAAAGACACAAAAACCAAGGCCCCAGACGGGCAGACGCCGGTACCTTCGGCGTATTGTTGGCACGCCTAAACTGTATTGATGTTGATGTCTGGTGTCACTCGTCGGCAAAGCCATGGAAGCGATACGCTGTACCTCGCGGCAGTCATTGTCCTTGAGAGGACAAACATGTTGCTTTGTTTGCACATCTATCTTCCTGTCTCAGCACGGTCGAAAGTGAACCAAAATCGGGCCGCTCGGGCCGCTTCCGAAAAGGGCACGCGCTACTCGTACCTCCATGTCTTCCGAGAGGCCACCTTTCGTCTCCCCGGCAAGACTCGCGGAAGCCTGCTTGCCCCGGACAGTGTGCATGGCACAGCGCCTGTTGCTGCGAAACAGGCAAACAGAGAGTACTGCTTCCATTTGCATCCGTCGCTGCCAACCGTAAAGACGATCTCTCCTTCTTTTTTGTGCCGTCTTGACGAAAAAAGGGAGGTCACCTGGCCATCTTGCGGTACGCCCGTTCCCACGGATGCCCGTGGGACCCAAGGGCCTGCTCGTCCGCGGCGCTGGGGGGGCACCTGGACGTCCTGAAATGGGCGCGTTCCAACGGCTGCCTCTGGACTGAATCCACCACGTGCAGGTGAGACAACGCGTACAATACACGGAAAGGTTTGGGGGCAGATGGCTTTCCGCACAACGAACGCCGCAGGCGAGGAGAGCTAGCTGCCCAATGAACAGAGGTTGTCAATATGTAGCGAAGAGAGGTGTGATTGCAAGGGGGGTGATGAAACCAGCAAGAACATGCGCAAGGTTGGTAGAGACGTGCAGTCTTGCTGCTACACTGTTGTTTGGCCTCCCCCCTTGACGGCCCCTCACGAGGTCCCAGATCGTGGCCTTCAAGAACGCTTTCTGCTTCGGCCGCGCTGATACTGACGTGTTGTTGTTGGTCAGCCGATTACCGGAGTATGACACAAGATAACACCCCCCCTAGACCGATTCTTAAAGCTCGATTACTCCACGACGAAGAGGATGCATAAACGAAACGATACATTTTCGACAAGCTCTCGACGAGGCGGTTTCAACACTGCCGTTTTCGGCGCTGTGACTGTTGCTGCAGTTGAGAAATCGAGCTTCGAAAATTGGTCAAGGGGGTGTGTTATCTTGTATCATATACGGTAGCGCGGTCGATCCCAGTATTACAGACACACGCGCATGGCTGCAAGAGGTTGTGCTCAAGAGCTCGTCCCCATCTCGAGTTCTTCGCCCTTTCCACATCCGACGCGAACGAAATTCTTTGGAACACACACTACACGCAGGGCGGCAGAAGGGGGCCACCTCCATATCCTGAAGTGGGCGGCTGCGCACGGCTGCCCGATGTCGTGCGATATTTGTAGCAAGGCAGCGAAGGTATGTATGTGTAGGATATTTTGGGTTGTACAGCTGCCGGCGGTATTGGTAGTGTGTGGTAGGTACAGCACTGCTGCTGTACCCCTCTTTTTTTGTCCACTAGTTGAGTCGTCGCTCGTAATATTGGTATTTTCCTTCCGTACGATCTTGCCTGCCTCCATCCAGACGAAGTGGAGCCCTAATCAGGGGGGGCACGCAGACAAGAATGATATCCATCCACGGAAAGAGAAATGAGACGCATATTGGTAGAACAGGGTCGGGCGTTCGTATTATTCAAGTGATCCCTCCAAAGTGGGCTATGAGATCCCAATTCCATCAGGGGCCGATGTAAGATCAAATCGATGCAGGAACAAAGGCGGGGAGCATGACGAACCCACATCACATCTGGCTTCCAGCTGCTCCCACGGTGCGACGCTCATTAGCTCACACAGCTCACATGGCTGTGTCACGTGTTTTTGACTCGAAGAGCTCGGCGAACCTCTACGAAACAAAAAGAAAAAACCACAACCTCTGTGGTAGTCTTACCTTCCCACGAGCCGCGCTCCCACAGGCCACGACCTGATACAACAGCAGAAGTCGTCGGTGGCTTTTACCTAGCATACGTCCAACATTGAATTCGACGAGCTACATATAGTGCACGCATCAGCCAACCGGGCATTGCTCTACGTCCCACGGCAGTCGTGGAATGTTTTTATCCGAGATAATTATCTCTGCCGACGTCTCCGCAATCCGGTTGCCGTACCCTGTGTCTATCTGCCTGCTGCTATACAAGGGGGGACACCTGGACGTGATCATGTGGGCCATGCAGCACGGGTCGGAGTGGGACAGTAACACGTGCCTGGAAGCGGCGCTGGGGGGGCATCTCGACGTGCTGAAGTGGTGCAGAGCTCACGGAGCCCCCTGGCACGTCGACACGTGTTCCGCCGCAGCCGGTGGAGGCCACCTCGCTGTCCTGCAGTGGTGCCGACACAACGGGGCACCCGCCTGGTGAGAATTGAGCGAGCGGACAGGGAACCAACCTGTCGTAGAATGGCGGTGTGATGGATGGATTCTCTTGTTTTCTGTCTCAACGCATGAACCGCAGAGGGCTGGCGGAGAAAAGAAAACTCCTCTCCTGCGTGGCCTCTTCCTCCCGCCTGCATTGGCCCCGGTTGGTGAAAACTGTACCGAAAGGCAAAAGAAATGGAGTCCAGGAGAAATGGGATGAAATGTTGGGTATTTCAGAGGCTTCCGCCGTCTCCTCCGTAGCCAAGGTAGTTTTACCCGAAAGAGGTTGAGGTTTCGTCGCGGTGCGCGATACTTGCCTGGCCGAGGGGCAGCTAGCTCTGTGACACCCGCCCCCCCCCCCCCCCCCCCCCCCCCCCCCCCCCCCCCCCCCCCCCCCCCCCCCCCCCCCCCCCCCCCNCCCCCCCCCCCCCCCTACAAGACAAAAAGTCGTGTTGACGCCTAGGCCACATCGGTGCACCCTACCTTTCTGTTGCCGCGCGTTAGCACAACCCCACGGCAATCTTTGACCTATGTAGTGGAGGATGCGCTTAGTTTTGCTCTTTGCGATCGTGCTTGTGCGTCACGATGACTAGCGCTTCCCCACTCGCCAACGAGACCCACCCACACATAGGATATGGCGAATGGCAACAGATACCCCCGGCGAATTGAGTGTTCCAGTGCAGGAAAGCCACCGCTTTGGTTCTCCAGCGATGAATAGGAATGGACCTTTCTGGTTGCCCGTGCTTCGGTGTTTTATTGCGTCGTCATCTGGAGCTGGAGCGAAACCAGAAACCGTTTTTTATCGTGTGAAGACATAAACCAACTTGTGGTTGACTTGCCGATCACAAACCTCGGTGTCGTAGTCTGTACTCGACTGACGTCTGTGTTTTTCTGTTCATGTTGTTGATCGCGCCTCGATTGTCGCCGTCAGGGACGAAGGGACATGCAACGCAGCCGCCAGGGGGGGGCACCTCCAAGTGCTGAAGTGGGCGAGAATCAACGGGGCTCCGTGGGACGCCAAGGTCGCCAGCTGGGCGGCCAAGGGCGGGCATGCGCCGGTGGTGCGGTGGGTTCTGGAGAACGGCTGCCCAACGGGCACGGGCGGGAGTCTGTACTATTAGGTGGGGCGCTCCGGCTTCTTGGGTGCAGGAAAGCCATTCTCCATGTCATTTTGAGTTCATCCGGTGTGCGTCGATGGTCTTTTCGTGGGAGTGGGCGTTGGAGCAATGTCTGAAGACCGCAGTTAGGAAAATGATTTCAAGCTCATGTATGTCGGTGCTTGCTGGTCTGTTCTGGCGTTGTAGTTTGGGTCGGGGGGGAGGGAAAAACCCACCGTATCCTAGTTGTTTGGACGACTTTGACTAGGTCGTTCGCTGAATGTATATAGCGGTGTTGTCTTAACACAGCAGGTGTTCGTGACTGATCATTGTTTTCGAGTTTTGTTTCTCATGTTCTGACATATTTTGTCCGCCTATCTCGTGTCGTGATTAGGCACCAATCATTGGTCACCGATATAAGGAGTGAGCCCTGTTGGCCCATTTTTGTTTCTGTTTGCACGGAGGATTAAAGACGCGTGGAATCATTCCATGTAAGAGACATCCTCGACCACCAACTAGAGACATGGCACGGCTGGGACTGATTTTCAAAGCTCGAGTACTATAGTGGGTATACTGCAAGGAAGAGTGGCTGCGCCGAAAGTGCTGGCAATGGAACCGTCTCGTCGAGAGCTTTCCGGAGACGTACATCGTCCCCGGCGTGGAGGGATCGAGGTTTGAAAAATCGACTCAGAGAGTGTGACATCTCTTTCATCACGAGTGCTGTATTTGGAAGGCGCAAGCGGCATCGCACGTGCGTTTTCTCATGGGTATCTCGTTTTAATTCTATTCTCTTCTGTTCTATTCTTCATAGGTATGTCCTTGATGGTCGTTGTACAGATACGTCTTGTTCTTGGAAGACGACGGGCACCACTCTAATATTACGTTGTTTTATCGTAGCGAGCGCCGCAAGGCGATTGCATGCCAAGGTTTTTGAGAGGTGGACTGACTGACACTCGTGTTGGCGGGTAAAGCTAGGCCGTAGTAATGCGGTATGCATTCCGCTCCAGCGCTTTTTCCGTGTTAGATGATTGTTTTTTGTGGTAGATCGGTTTCTCCCCGTGGTAGGTCGGGGTTCCTGGTGAGGCGCCGAAGACGACCGGTTTCGCAGCACTTCCATTCCAGGCTTGTAATAATAATAAATTGATACACGCGGGCGTGGTCGCTATAGGTGTTTTGCTGCGAGTTGCGTGGCTTCCGGGGAGAGGAGGGTAACGGGAGTATTCATTTAGCTATTCCCACGAACAAGCGGCACTGGGGCTTCACGTGGACGCTCATTTAAATACGACCTTGTCGTGTGATAGCAAGCAAGCCCAGCCGCAGGAGCTGAAAAGTATCGATACACAATGCCTGCCGGTACGAATCGTGATTCGTTTTTGGTTTTGATTTGTTGGGTTCGGGCGCTGCGTCCGTGGAACACGATCAGACGGAGGCGCAACGGTGTCGTTCAACATATTTTTGTTGTTTTTTTTTCGGGGGAATTCGTCGATTACCTGCGTCAATTTGATTTGGAGGAAGGGTCGCGTCTGATTCTTAGCTGATGGTTGGTCTACGGTTGATAGCCTCCGATTTGTGGCTACTGTACAACCGTGTTATTTCGTCCTGTGGCTTAATCTTTCATATCATTACGAAACGTCACTTTTCCCCTTGTCATCCACGGCTGGGCTGGTGGTATCTATATATCAACACGATCTATTTTCTCTAGGGGGGGGGGAGTGAGTGCGGTGCGGACTTGAGTGTGCCCTCCTAGAACTACCGCTCGACGTTCAAGTTGGTTGACGCGGATTCTGTGGCTGGGTGTTGGGGGGGTATGATGTAGTATTATTCATCGTCCCCCCCGTAGAAGTGGTCCTTATTACGTCCCCAAGATTCCAAGGGAAACGGGTGAAGATAATCAAATGTGGGGGGTAGACACCGTCTGAGAAGAAGTGAGTTGCGTGGTGTGTCGCCTCGTCCGTGTGTTGTTTTTGGTCGTTTTCCAGTGGCTGTGTTGCATTCGTTGTTTTCTAAGCAAGTCGTATTTATCTGGTAGGACCAGGGAATGCGTTGTGGAAACGCAGCATGTGCATTTTCGTGGTTGTATAAACAGGGGGAAAAAAAACGATGGAAGAAATCGGTCGAAACCATCCTAAGAGCTTTGTCGTTGACAGGACGTGTTGGGCATGTAGCACAAGCGAGTGAGGGGTGCTAGAATGGTGTTAACCAACGCCACTGCGTGCAACCAGGGGTGATGGTGCACTAAATGCCTATTGTTGGACGAGTGGAAGTGGCACGGAATATTTATTGGGTGGTAACGAAGACGGTCCAAAGAAATCCACGAAGTAGTGGGGTATTCGATGTATATTCGGTTCTTGGCACGGCGTGGCACGAGAAGCAGACATGGTGGTATGTTGTAGGTGATTCTGTTTGGTAGCGAAGCGCTGGGTGGCGGCAACGGACCCGAGGGATGCCTCTTGCAGACGTTCCAGGTCAAAGAAGAAAGAAAGAAACTGAGTGTCGAGCGCGGTTGAGAGGGAGCCTTGGCAGCTCCGCGCCTCTGGAATCTCCTTCAAGGTTTGTCTTAGACGGCGCTAGAAATCGTCGTGTAACAACGACGTATGCATAGCACGTGTATGGTCGATTCTGATTACCACTTTCACTGAATGAAGAAGGGCGGAAGTTAGAACTGCTATGGTTTTGTGGAGAGATCACAAGCTCGCCGGGTGAGCCCCTAGTGCGGCTGTATTCTGGACCATAGAAGAATCAAGTCGGTCGCGAGACCCCGTGCCGAACACATGCAACCAACTTGTATTCGGGTTTTCTGTCGAATGTGACGTTTTCGTCGGACCTGCTGGACGCACCCAACTCTCTGTTCGTGGCTTGACGGTGTTGGCCTGCAAATTCGCAGTGCGGTCATTGGTCTGCGTCTATCACTTCGGTACAAAGGTTCTTGAGCCGTAAGTCGATTGAATCGGGCCCCAAGAATCGAGCAGCGATCGCAAATGAGCAGGGTACCCGGTGTAGGTGAAATACGGGTCACTGAACCCCCCGAGCCGGGAGGTGTCTCGTCGCTCCCCCGCCTTCCCGGTGGTTGGTGTTTTACAAGAGTGCGATGAGGCATGTACTGAAGTCGGTCCTTGCCCAGCATGGTAACTAGTTAAAACGTGTTGCACTGCTGTGTCTGGTCCAATTTGCTAGCCGTTCCAAGCAGTGTAGTGTAGTTCTTGTACGACGCCTATGGCAGGAGTCACCAACATGGCAGGCACCGTAAGGCGCCTGCTGCTATCGACGCATCTCCTCAGCAGTAGTGGGTCAGCCGAAAGTTTTCCTGCGGTAAAAGTCATACTCGCTTCTTGCACTGGCTAATACCAATGGCTGACGTTTTGTCGTTGGAACGGATGGTTCTTTTTTGTGTGGGGGGGGCACAGGTTGACCACCTGTAGAGTGATGCCGCAGGAAGGGAGGGGCATCCATCATGGAGGAGAAAATGCACCATCCGATTGGTTGGGGAGATAGTGTTCCAACAACGCGAGGTTGTGCTGGGGGTCACCACTGTGTCTGGCACTCGTAGCTACGGCAGCGACCAGAGTCTCGGAACAACGCGCTGCTTGCACTCTTGTGCAGAGGGAGGATGGGGAAAAAGGCACCTACGATTGTTGTGCACGAGGAGAGACAGGATAGCACACAAATTTCGTCTGAATTTCTGGGCAGCGGGAGGCCCCAACCCACTCCTTGACAAGGTGGCTCCAATTGCAGCTCGGGATTTCTGCTGCGGCTAAGAAAACTGACCACTAAAAAATTGCTTCTGTTTTATTCCGCATGCGCACAATATGACGCTTGCCGGTGGGGAGTCAGTTTTGGTTTTGGGCTCGCTCGCGTTTACGAAAAAAAGCGTTATGTAGGTCTTGTCCGGGAGAAGATTCATCATGTGGAGGATGGGTCAGTCAAGGTTACCCCCCCCTCGAAGTCACACGCAACCAACAACGCCCCCACACCCGGGAACACAGACGATCACAATTAATCCTTAAACCAAGGTGGCCGTAAGATTTCAGCCGACCCCGTTGGGGACGCACCCACCCGTAACATAGTCTACATTCTGTCTGGGCATTGCGTATCCAGCTGTCCGCGTTTGTTCACGTACTAATTTCTTTGCGTGTGACTGAGCCGCACCGTCTTCCGGTATCCGTAACGGCCTGCTCATCATCCGGAGGCCCACCGCGAATCGTCACGTGTCAAGGATATGGTCTGACATGTTCAGCTGGAGTCTCTCGGGGACCGACCACATGACAGACAAAATACAACAATTTCGTACACGCGTCAAGGTATGCTTTCGAAGTGAAATTGCGGCGTGCTCAACGACGTCACCAAACGAACCAAGGGCAATTGCACAGAATGATTCCTTAGCGATTCCTGTCACACGCTGGAGTGCACCAGAGTCCAGCCATGTACCATACTACGAGCCGAACGGAAGGGATGGAAGGTATCCCCCCTTGTTTTCCACCTGTGGTGAAACTTCCGGAGTTGAGGCCTGTGGCAGAAGACCCGTCAACGATAATCTTGGTTTACTTCGACGTCCGACTTGCTTATTACAACCTTCCGATCTCCCTTTCCCTCCCTCTTTTCCTGGTCTTGCCTCGTTCCTTGAAAATCTCCACTCATCGTGTATCGTCAAGCCTGCTCTTCTTTTCTTATTCTTTAACGATCACAAACAAACCCAATATCGAACCACCTCCATACCTAGCTCACTCTGTGGGTTGCAGTTGTGTATCCCATTCGCCTTTTGGGGTGTGTGTGTGTGCACATGAAATCTACAGCACCTCCACACACCAACTCGAGAGACCGAGAAAAACAGAGAGAAGTCAGAACTACAACCAAGCTCAGGCCACCATGAGTAGTCGACGTATGCAAACAAGGACAGGGTCCAAGGTGAGTCATTAGCATCCAACCTTGTGGAACAAAGGAGTTGCTCGTAAGGTCACTTTGAAATGCGACGAACGCAGTTAGCGCCCGCACTCAAGAACGAACCTGTTTTGCCGAGGCTTGTTTCATACAGTGGGAGCATCTTTCTCTAGTCTATCGGGTACCGCAACGAACGGCGACCTAATATATATATTCAGTACGTTTTAGATTACTGGTAGGCTTTTCGACGGAAGTACCTGTTCTTGCGGCCAAACTGTTAAGTTTTCTTTCATTCATATCCTGTTTCTTTGCTCCTCCTCAGGTTCTGGAGTGCGGGCGCTAACTACTCCATGGTGTGGCTGCAACATACACGGGTAGAGGAAGACTCTTGATCAATCGATGGGGTAGGGCTTCGCAAAAAAAATACTCCGGAGTACATATATTTGTGAGGAAAGTATGGCACGCAGTGAGTGGTATGGGTAGTGCGTGATTGTGTTGCGCGCGTGTCGCTTCTTCATCTGAGTTTTAGTAACCCTGGTAGGTTGTTCGTCTGTTGTGTTACCGAATTCGTCCGGTATGTGCATATGTTCCTCAAGTATTTTGTCGGGGTGGGAGGGTCGACAGTGAAAACCACAGGTGATACAACCTCACTAGTATTTGAGGGATGCTATGGCGTTTGGCGCGATACGTGCCGGACTGAATTTATTTTGGCTAATTCTCCCCCCAAAAAACGCTGCACCATTGCACCAACCCCCTACTACTAGTGATGACGGACCATTACAATGTATCGCTGGTTGTTGGCCATCTTTGCGTGTTTGCTTGTTGGTTAGTGGTCCCTCCACCGTGTGTGTGCCTTTTTCTGTCTCTTACTTTTTGTTATTGTCGGCGTGGCCCCTTTTGTCCTTGCTCTTTTTCATTTTCATTTTATGTTCTCTTTCCTTTACTGTTTCCTTTTGTTTTTTCTCTGTTTTCTCTGTTTTCTCCTTTTCTCTATTTTTTTCCCTCTTTTTCCGTGCCTGATGGCCTTGTCCCTGCTTGCGTTGTTAAGTACCAAGATTGAACCAAGGGGGTGTACCTCTTTCTCTCCGGCCCGTGATGGTGACTCCTAGTCTCAGGTGTTACCTCGCATAGCGCGCAGAGGGAGTGGAGGACTCCAGAATGTAAATCTATCTGTCATGTCGTTGATTTCTATTGACTTGCGGACCCCTCGGGGCCAGTTTGTTTGAGTGTACCTTGGAGGGTAAGTTAACCTGTGACCACGGGATTCGACCGCGTCGAGTGTTGGATCAGTACGGACATACGAANGTAAATCTATCTGTCATGTCGTTGATTTCTATTGACTTGCGGACCCCTCGGGGCCAGTTTGTTTGAGTGTACCTTGGAGGGTAAGTTAACCTGTGACCACGGGATTCGACCGCGTCGAGTGTTGGATCAGTACGGACATACGAAGGTACTGGGTAGAGAGAGATCGGAGCGATTTGAAATGTGAAGACCACAACAACAACAACAACAACAACAACAACAACAAGGCATTCTACAGCATCTTGTGCAAGAAAAAAAAAGGATGTAGCCATGCAGGGGCACACCGACCGGTCGAATCTATGTAGTAGCCAGTGACGAATCAGCACCAGATACATACCGGTCGCCCCGGTGGTCTACCCACTAGAATAGTGTGTAGCCTCGCAGCCTGCCAAGGGCCAGGTCATGGGTTCGAGTCCCGACAGAGTGAGTTTTTCCTCGCTAATTAAATCCTGGTTTCCGTTGGAAGCGATGCGCTGCAAAGCTCGTTGTCAGTTAGTAAAATTGATCGACTTCTTAAGTCGCGAGGGAAGGGATTGCTGTACCCTTCTCGCGATAAAAATATCTCAGGCAGGAACCGCAGGAGGGGGTCCAACCCCCCCCTCCTATGTGACCCCGGTTGGGTCGTCTAGCTGGTTGAAGTGGAGGGTAGGGGCCAGCGGGGCAGACGACAGAGAGAGTCCAATGATGGGAGAAAAACAAACAACAAAAACAAAACAACGAACGCTGTATTTTTTTTTCGCATTTCAACATCATCCCGTCGTGCAAAGCGACGGTGGTCTGAAGACGGTAAAATAGGTGCATGGCCCACACCACCAGACTCTGGTGGTGTGGGCCATGCACCTATTTTACCGTCTTCTCGCACGGACGGTGGACGGATGGGTGTGGATGCCACCCAAAAAATACAACAAACATTTCCACCAGACCACCACCAGCAAGTAAGTTCTCCTTTCTTTCCCTCTCTTCTCCCACAACCACCCCCAGACCACCGAACGAAACAGTCCTCCACCGCGCGCCCTCAATCAAGATCGAGCTGCACCCAAGACCCAACCATCGCAGTACTACACGGCCGTCCTTTCTGAGATCTCATGTTCCAGAGCCTGATCCTGGCTGGGGTGAAGATGCAAGCCTCGGCGGAGCACCTACCTGTGGTTTCCAACGGCGGAAGGAAGCAAGCTGCCGCAGCGAGGCGAGAAAGATTACCATGCATGATGTGTTGTAGGGTACATAGAATTGTACATAGCCATATTATATATGCTGATTTTCTTCTTCCTCTGTATCTCTCAGGGAACTCAGAATGCTCTCTCATCCTCTCGCCGCCGGGCGTTGAGTGCGGCTGCGAGAAGAAAGGGGCAAATCGCCGCTCCCTGCGTCATTTTTCTTCCCGTTCTAGGTGGCGAAGGGTGAGAGAGACCGTCCGGTCAAATCAGGGTCTCATCTCAAAACCATCACAAAGAGGGAGCCAACAAAGAAGGCGCTTTCTTTCATGGACTAAAAAAATAAAATTGTGACTGCTGTCTCTCGAAGAACCACCGCGATGGCAGCGGGCGAAGCTCTGCATCGGTAAGTAAGTAGATCGGATTAGCGTAGCGTTGAAGGATTCCTCTCTCTCTCGATCGTGCAGCCGTGTTGTCGGTGGCGAAAGGTGGTACATGTATTCTGTGGAAGGTGCGCCAAGAAGCAGATGCTGACCTCAAAAAAGCACAAACAGCTATCATAGCTCCTTCCCTGTGTGACTGCTGTTGTGTAGTCTAGATCTATGCACACTTACTTGTTGTCCGGTCATCGCTTGATGTACATCTGGACTGGTCTATATGCCATGTAACATGCGCTTCGCCTGGTGTGTGTACTCTTTAGGGACCTCATCTCTCTCTCCACCACTTTCCAACATGGCAGACACTCACAGCCGAACCCTACGCTCTGCTTTGCTGCTCGACTCTCTTCTTCTTTGCGACCTCGGACCAAGGCAAGCAAGTCCCAAGCCCTGCATGGTTGCGACGACCACACACACACGCACGAGAGCGCGGACAGAGCGCAGAGGCAAGAGGACAGCCTGGCCCTCTCTTGTCCACCCCTCCGCTTTGGTAAGCGCCCGCTGGTGTGAAGAAGCTAACAGCAGATTACGCCCAGTGTCTGCAGGTCCGTAGCCACTATCAGCTGACGAGAGAGGGTGTAACAGGGAAAGTTGTAGATTCGTGAGCAAAAGATGCGCGATGGTATGCATTTCACCGAGGTGCCCGACAGATACAGCAATAGATCCGGAGCTGATTGCCGTGTTTTTTGGTTTCAGCATCCTCGACCTTTCCGCAACTGCTGTTGCTCTGCTACGCCAAATCGAGGCGCAATCAGAGAGAAGGCATGCAGGTCAGGTTTCCCTTGGAGGGATGTATTGCATACCCGCCCGCGCTCGTAGAAAGGAGAACACACACCAAGACTCTGACGTGAGCTGCTACAAGGAGTAGAGCCAGCGAGACGAAGGGACAACTGCAAAAAGTTGGAAGTTCAATAAATTAATTCCGCCGCATCCTCCCTCACCATTTCTGTGTTTGCGTGTCGGTCAGCCTCCACCCAAAGACAAGACAAGCGAAGGCC